TCAGTGATTCATCAGTTGCATACAATGCCCAGTACCCACTACATCACGTGCCCTCCCCAATGTCCATCACCCCATCCCCTACCCCTCTTCCCTCCAGCAACCCTCCGTTCATTTCCTATGATTAAGAGTCTCTTAGGTTTGTCTCCCTCTCTGTTTTCATCTTATTTTAGTTTTCCTTCCCTTCCCCGTGTTCATCTGTTTTGTTTCTTAAATTCTACATATGAGTGAACTCATATGGTATTTGTCTTTCTCTGATTGACTTATTTTGCTTAGCATCATACCTTCTAGTTCCATCCATGTTGTTGCAAATGGCAAGATTTCTTTCTTTTTGATGGCTGAGTAATATTCCATTATATATAGATACAACATCTTTATCCATTCATCTGTTGAATATCTGAGTTCTTTCAATATGGTTTTTTATTTTTATATTCAATATATTGAATGACATTGATTGATTTGCAAATGTTAAATGAATCTTGACTTCACAGGAAAAAATCCTTCAGTTATGATATATTATTATTTTTATATATTACTATATTCAATATGCTGATGTTTTTTGGAGATTTTTTTTCATCTATGTTCATAAGGGATTTGGGTCTGTAGCTTATTTTCTCATATTATATTTGTCTATTTTTGGTATCAGGTTAAGTCTGGCCTTATAGGATGAGTTTGGAAGTGTCTCTCCCTTCTTATTCTCTGGTAGAATTTGTGTAGAATTGATATTATTTTTTCCTTAAAAGGCAGAATTTGCCTGTGTGATGCTATCAGGTCCTGGAATTTTCTTTGTGGGAAAGTTTTTTTTTTTTTGTGGGAAAGTTTTTAACTACAAATTCAGTTTCTTTGATTGATATAGGTCCACTCAAGATATTTATTTCTTCTTAAGTAAATGTTGATAGTTTGTGGTTTCAAGAATTTTGTCTATTTCATTTAGATTGTTGAAGTCTGGGATATTAAGTTGTTTGGAATATGTCCTTACTAGCCTTTTAATGGGCCAAAATCAACGATGATATATTGATGTTCCCTTTTTATCAGTGGTATTAATAATTCATGCCTCTTTTTTCCTTGAACAGTCTGAATAGAAATTTATCAATCGATTGATTATTTAAATAATTAATTGGTATTTTCATTATGTTTCCTTTGTTTTCTATTTTCAATTTCATGTACTTCTGCTTTTATCTCTATTATTTCTTGTTCTAGGTTTAATTTGATATTTAATTTCAGGTTTCTTAAGGTGAATACTTCAATCACTTATTTGAGGCCCTTGTAAATTTCTTTCTTTCTTTCTTTCTTTTTCTTTCTTCCTTCTTCCTTCCTTCCTTCCTTCCTTCCTTCCTTCTTTCTTTCTTCTTTCTTTTTCTTTCCTTTGTTTTTTCTAGTATGAGTATTCAATGCTACAATTTTCACTTTAAGCTGCATCCCACATATTCTGATGTGTTGCATTTTCACTTCCTTAAGTTCAAAATATTTTCTAATTTCCTTGTGACCGACTACCTCTTTCACCCATGATATATTTAGAAATGGTTTCTTAAAAACGTTCAGATAATTAGGGATTTTCCGGCTCTCTTAGTCCCATTTATATTTAATTGAATAAAGCTGCTTGAATTTCCGATTCTTTAAGAATTTACAAGTTTGAACATCTTTTACTTATAATAAATCATGTTAATAAAATTAGGTAAATTTTATTGCAAGCTTACTCTGTGCCAGTGACTATTGTGTATATGAGCTCATCCATGTTCACAAGGATGCTTTGAGGAGGCACTTTGTCCTCCTGTCTTTCCTCATGAGGATTTTGAAGCCCATGGTGAGAAATTAGAGAGCTCAGCATTTGAATCCAGGCAGGATGTGTTCAGAGCTTCAACTCTGCACCATCTCCTCTTTGTGCCCAATCTTCCTGTAATCAGGTTCTTTGCCCACATATCATATGTGTTCAATATTCTCCTGCAAATTTGTAAAAACTTTTTGTAAGTTGAAAATATTAATTTTTGGAGATTTTAAATAAACACTTGTATGTTTATTAATAATAAAAATAAGAAAGTTTATTCACTTCCCCCAAAACAAGAAAATATCCCTCTTGTCTTTCATATGTGTTAAAAGTATTTTTCCCGATTTTTAAATGTGCCTTTACTCTTTTTTAACAACTAATGATCCTATTTTAAGTGGTTCTGGGATAAGGCTATAGTTATTTGGGCAAGTTAACGTAGATCCTACCATAAGAATAAGTAATTCTAAATTAATTTTCAAAATACATGTAAAATTTTATATGATGTAAAAGAAGCCAAAAAAAAAAAAAAGGAAAAAGGAAAAAACTAGAAGAAAATAAGGTAAACATTGATCCAAATTTTGCAATGCAAAAGATTTTTCTAAAGCCTCAAAGTATTGGAATAAATCACAAGGAAAAAGATGTACGAGCTTTATTGAATAATATATAAAGGATCATTAGTTTCTCACCATGGGCTTCAAAAGATAAGATCATAATAAAGAAGGTGTGAGTTAAGATGTGTTTCAACTTATGTAATGAAAAGGTAACTAACCAAGTAAGTAGTCAGAAATGAATTTACTATTTGGTTTGAACAACAAAATAGCAAGAAGAAGACATTAACTAAGGATTTTTAAAAAAATTTACACCCAATGTGTATATATATATATATATATGTATATTATAGAGGATTATCCTCCCACATTATAGAGGATAACAATCATGATAGTAATGCGAGAGCTAAGCATCATTAAGGTACTGGCAAAATCCTTGTTCTATGTTCTTCTGTTCCCACTGCCATGACATACATAATAAGTGGTACTATTGGAATGGCAAAAAAAAAAAATTACACTCAATTAATTAACATATAGTATATTATTAGTCTCAGAGGTACACTAAGGATGTATTTGAGATGTAAATAAATGTATTCCATTTATAAAAAGAAACAAGAAATTATGAGACAAAATAAGAGCACATTGCTGAGGAGAAGAACAAATCAGGAACGTGGTAACCGTGCTGATAGCAGGTTTCACCTTGGCAACAGCAGATGCCGGAAGGCAGTGGGAGAGCATCTTTATTTAATTAATTAATTTATTTATTTTTTGGGAGAGCATCTTTAAAGTGCGAGAGGGGAAAATGCCTGTCGGTCTATAACTCCTATTCCAAAGTGAGGACAAAATAAAGATGTTTCCAAACACGAGAAGAGATTAATACCCTTGGCTCCCAATAAAAGATCTATAAAAGATATACGTAAGCCAAAAGAAAATAAAGTTCTTGGGATATATAAAAAAAATTAGTCCCCAAATTGATGAAATATTTCAACAAATTTTATTCTCTGTTGATGGTAAATCTAAGTATTTTTGTAACAATTTTTTTAAAGTGAAAGTACAACACTGAGCAAATATAACAATACGGGGTGGAAAAGATGCACAGCAATGAGTCTAAGGTGACTGCGTTCCTTGTCTCCATTGAGATAAAAACACAGGACGTCTTTTGGATTTGTGGGCAACGTGAATAATTAAGGATGCCAGCTAAAATATCAAAGTTAGGACCAAACAATAAAAAAGTCCAAATCTTCTGGGAACAGAAGGGAAAAAAAGAGAATGTAAAATTTTTATCAGTACAAGGAGGGCAGACGATAGGAGGAAACGCAAAGGGTGGAATAGCTCTGTCCGCCCTCATGTCTGTAGGTCTGGGAGCTGGCTTACATTTTGGGGTGAGGAGCGAAATTTAGGAGAATATTTGCAGACGTGCAAATATTCTCCCAAAACTGTGATTCTTCCTGTTGCCACTATCTCAAGAAGGTGTAACGAAGCAGTGTGCTTTCATCCACTCCAGCTGACCAGCCAGGGTAGCGGAATTCCAGTGAGTTAGGTCACCCCCAAATTGCCCAATGTCTGCTTTTCAAAAGCCCCATTTTTTAAAGCTGCTAGTTAGGACGTCACTCCAGCTGTAGAACAAGGACATCGCTTATGTTACTTCTCTGCTTACTATAGCGATCCCCAATAGTCAACAATTTTGCCATTGACAGGTTCTGTTTATTTTTCTATTTCCCCACCTCCTGAACTCATGATCCCACTAGCCAAACATTTTTGAATGTGGTATTATAAAAATGGCACAAATTCAACTTTATTCCATTTTCTTTTTAATCTGAGAAACTTCCAGTGCACTTCAGGATAAGTAGAGATACATAACTCACAGTTTTTACAGAGTTTGGGGCAACGTTTAATGTGAATGTTTGGCTAACCCCAGTCATTGGGGAGAGTGCTCTCTGGGCCTTGTTCCTCATGAATCTCTGGAAATTGGAAGCAATGTTAATAGGGAAATGGAAGAAAGTCATAGGGGGCCCCCAGCCACTGAGTTCACCTTTAGTCTTACTTCCGTTCTTTGGGCAGAAGAGTTCAAAATGCAGGGCAGACATGGAAAGACACTAAAGACCCAATGCAGGGCTTAAGGGAGGGCTTTACCATCAGGGGCAGAGAGTAAGACCATGTCCTTGTATTTCTATGGGATGTTGGTGTTGAACAAGCATCTTGTTATTTATTTATGATTTTATTTATTTATTCATGAGAGACAGAGAGAGAGAGAGAGGCAGAGACACAGGCAGAGGGAGAAGCAGGCTCCACGCAGGGAGCCCCACGTAGGACTCGATCCCGGGACCCCGGGGACACACCTGGGCCAAAGGCAGACGCTGAACCTCTGAGCCACCCAGGCATCCCCTTGCAATATTTTTAAAGGGTGGAAATTGAGATCTTGACGGCAACATAATGCAGATAAGGAGTATTTACTGAGTGACCAAGTGGTAAATTTTTATCACTGACGAATGAACTTTACTGATACCAGGTTATGTCACTGGGTCTCAATCCTGATAAAGGAGTTTGCTCGGGTTTGTCAGAGATATGGACATAGCCTTTCCCAGAGTAATTATTCTGGAAAGAGATTTCCACACCTTAAAGCTAATATAAAGGGTAGAAGTTGCACTGGCAGCCTCACTTGCTCTGGCTCCTTCTTCCCATCAGGCAAAATGAAAATCCTCGTGAGTATTTGCTTATGCTTCTTTATAGTCTTGTGGTGGCTCTTGCAGAGAACGTGTGAATCCAATGTGCCTTGGATTTCAGAAGTCTTAGGTGAACACTGTGCATGCTTCTAAGCTTCTGTGATTGAATTACATAATGTTTTTGGCAGGGATAGTGTTAAATATTAAGTCGGATATTTATTTGTCCACTGTCTATTTTCCGAGGTGTTTACTAAAAAAGATGCAAAGAAAACATTTTGGAAATATCTAGAGGATTTTAATTTTGGAGAATTTTTAATAATTCCTTCTTATGAGCTTGGGAAGGAATGTAGGCGTTTTAGGGCAATAGCATCTACTACTTAAAAGAGAAGGTATAAGTTTTTGAAAAAGACAATAGCAGCAGTCATTTGCTAAGTGTGTATTAGATTCTAGGCTAAACGTACATACTTTGATTCTTTACTTCAACAGCTCTGTGAGCTGAGTAGTGTTACCCCGTTCTACAGATGAGGAGACTGAGGCACAGAGGAATGTGATTTTCCCATTCCGGTAAATATGAGGTTTAGACCTGAAAGGTACCTGTCCCCATCCCGCCGGCGGGAGCGATCACGGCGTAGTGTTCCTGCCGTGTCACCCTCCTCCTGCCCACCCCAGCCCTGATCCCAGGCTCCCACGGCTTCACTCTGCAGTGCTCCATGAACAGAGGTTTGTGTTTTGACCCAGAATGGAACTCCTTCCACCAGTTATCTATCCCTTATTCTCATGGAGTTGTTGAGGGAGAAAGCAAAATGAGGAGTTCCTCCCCACCAGGTGTTCAAGATTGTTGGCTTAAAGAGTTCCAGCTCCAAGGCGCCTCTTGATTTTCCAAGAGGAGGTCTGTGACTGAAACGTAGACCCGTCACCGTGGTGCATGAATCAAGGTGTCGGGTGGGTGGCTACTTGGGGACCGGGGACACTTGCCGAGCTTGCTCTAATTACATCACTCTGGTGGCGAGTCGTCCACTCATCTGTTCAAACCTCTGTATTAGACCCTTTAAATAGAATACAGAGGATTGCCAGGAGTTACAGGAGCTGGCCCTGAGTCAGGGAAGGAGTGGGGCTGTGCAAGTAGCCAGGTCAGGTATCTACATACAGGTCTTAGTCAGACACCCCACCCCCTGTCCTCAGAAGACAAATGTTCTTGGTGTTTGTCAGGAAAATAGAAAAATCCTCCTGATAGGTCTTAAAAATATCTGCCTTCCTGCAGATCCCCTCCGTGAGCGGTTTGCAATGACAGCGCCGTACATTGTGGTGTTCGGAACAGAGAACACAAAACTGGGATCCACAGGTTGGAGAAGACTCTTAACTGCAGCAAAATGTCAGAACTGCCTCAATGTCGGCCTCAAGGCCCATTAGCCTAACACTTGTCTGACGGCCTCACTAAGGATCCCGTCCTTGGTGTCAGCCTCAAACGTTAGCCATGCCTCCAAGTTTCCTGTTTTCATAATTTCCCTTGGGAATCCATTGTAGCTCTATCATCCACAAACCCATTGTAAATCTGTTTTACCCTCTCAGTCTCAAGGGATTAAATATATATATATTTTTAACCATAAAATACAACTTCACTCCCGTAATCCAAATCCACTATGCGTCACACCAGGGTGTTCCTTCTTATCACTGTTCACCTGCTCCAACTTGTTTCTGGCATGAGAACGTGTGCTACCTAGCAGATTAGGATGTTGGGAAGGGTTGGGGATTGGGCATAAAGATAGAAGAATGACAAATAGCACGGAGTCGATAAATACCTGCCAAATGAGGGAATGTGTGTTTCACATCTTGGAAATGGACTGTTGGCTGCCCAGGACCACACCCCTGTGTCTCAGGGCCTATATTTTCTGAGACTTGTGCTGGTCTTGTCCAGTGTCCCCATAGGTCCCTACCCTCAGTGACTGCCCTATAGAGAGTGGATGCAACTGGTCTGTCTTTCAGGTGGTATTTCTGGTGCTGGCCATCTTTGGGACACAATCCCATGGAAACGAGGTAAGTCCGTTCACTATGGATTTTATATCTTGGAGTAATTGGGAGGGGAAAAGGAAGAGACAAGATAATCTATCTGAAGGACCGTAGAGAGCGCATATGCCCTATTTGGGATGGAATCCCAGAAATAACCAAAAATGGAAACGAAGCGGTTGGTTATTTCTTTTCAACTGCAATGACTTAAAAAAAAAATGCAACCCATTGCTTTAAAATGTGGTCCATCTCATTTCTCGTGTGATGTCACTGCTTCTCCCATTTCTCATATGAAGAAGAGCTTCACATTCCTACTTTAGCATGTGTCTTTGGTCTAGGATGCCAGTGAGGAGGTTTCAGGCGTCAGTCTCTTGTTCATAGCAAGTGGAAGGCTTTATTTTGTCAAGAGGGTTGCCTTTCCAGTGCCCATGTTTTATGGATAAACCATTATGTCTTTGTTGTTAATCTAGGTTTATAACATCATCAGCCCAAACAACAATGGTGGCAATCTTCAGGAGACGGTGTCAATTGACAATCAAAAAAATATCGCCATCGTTAACGTTCACGCAGGATCATGCTCCTCTACCACAATTTTTGACTATAAACATGTAAGCAGCAAGGGAATTTGTACATTCTTCAAGACTGGATTTCTAAAGGGTGGAGGGGTGGCCACTTACTACCCAAGAACTATCCTTGCAATTCTTTCACAATTTTCCTTACTTTTGCTTTTCCCTTTTCAAAAAGATTTTATTTAATTATTTTATTGAGAGAGAGAGAGAGAGTGAGAGCAAGAGCGAGAGCATGCACTAGAGGAGGGGAAGGTCCATTGGGAGAGGGAGAGAGAGAACCTCAAGCAGACTCTGAGCTCAGAGTCGGACTGGGGGCTCGATCTTGTGACCCTGAGATTATAACCTGAGCTGAAACCAAGGGTCAGACACTTAAGAACACCCAGGTGCCCCCCCCCCAAAAAAAACATTTCTAAGCAAAAAAAAAGTATGACAGGAAAGATATGCATTTGCTTCACCTTTTCAGGTGGCAATCGGAAGCATCCTGATACTGTCTCCCTACAGGCTCAGAAAGCATCTAGAAAGGTGGGCCAAAACCCAGAATGCAGCCTGGCACACAGGCTCTCAAAAATATTCACGGAAGGGATCCCTGGGTGGCGCAGCGGTTTGGCGCCTGCCTTTGGCCCAGGGCGCGATCCTGGAGACCCGGGATCAAATCCCACATCGGGCTCCCGGTGCATGGAGCCTGCTTCTCCCTCTGCCTGTGTCTCTGCCTCTCTCTATCTGTGTGTGACTATCATAAATAAACAAAAATTAAAAAAAAATATTCACTGAAGGAACAAATGAATGAATTAGGGCTTCTAATATGAAAACCTGTGCCAAAAAAGAGCGATTTCAGAATAAACAATCACAGAATAGCAGAAATCCAGAACATCTATGCACATTTAACCATGTAAGTCAGATGACAGTAAATCATACTTCTGGAAGAAGGAGCATATGTTAACCAAAAACTCCAAACTATTTCCAAGTTTCAGTTACTAGTATTAATAGTAAGTCTCAGAAAATTGCTCAGAGAAGTTATTTGGTCCTTTATCCATTTATTTGTTTGTTTTCCACGTGTTCTACCCGGTAAGGAGCCTGCTCTTACCGTGGGGCAGAGCTATGCACTGTGGATATAAGGAGGTTGTAGTTCATCTCACCGGACATTTGAACACACTTTCTGTGTCCTTTTCTTTTTCTTTTTTTTTTCTGTGTCCTTTTCTTGGAGGAATCTCCTCACATGCCTCCTCCCCATCGCCATTAGGAGTTCTAGGGTGCATGTGAGAGCATGTGCTCTTTGAAAGATACCATTTTATTTTATTTATTTTTTTTGAAAGATACCATTTTAAAGAAAGTTCTACTTAAATTGTTTTTTAAGGCAGATTTCAGGGAAATCAGCAAAGTGTCTCCAAAAAAAAAAAAAAAAAAAAGTAGAAGAAGAAAATCCCAGAGTGGTGAGGACTTGGTTTACCCCCTTCCACCACCATCGGGCTTTGCCTTAGTCTATTTTTGAATTTTAGGAACTGGCCATTTGTGAGAATTGAAAAATAGGAACTAGAAGACCATTTGTATGACACACAGCCTCACGGACTGTAGAATAATTTGGAAATCCATGGAGAAAACCCCATTTGGGATGAAGGTTAGGTGGCCTCCGCTTCCACCTGGCTCCATGGGCCTCACCCGCCTCCAGGCCGGGCCCGACCCGCCAGCCCGGGTCTCAGGTGGAGACGGGCTGGAGAGAAGCCAGTAAAGGAGGGGAGGACAGATGAAAGGCGGGGGTGTTGGTGGCGGGGGGCCGTGCCGTGCGCAGGAGTGTAGGGGTCCCCGCGACGGTGAAAACCTTCGCCATCTGCGTTTCCTGGTAGAGACGCTACCTGCCGCGTGTGGCTGCTGAGCGCGGACTGGGACAGGCGATTTAAAGATTTTCAATGTTGAAAATTTGAATTTAAATCTAGATAGCACCTGTGGCTAGGAAGGAGCTTGGTGGAACGCACAGTTCTAAAGGGGACTGCATCCGTCCCAAGTTGAGGGAAAGGCAGAGAGAGAGAGAGAGAGAGAGAGAGAGAGAGCTGCTGCTTCCTGACTGTCCAGACCCCGCAGACTACAGGCCCGGGGTGCAAACCGGGAAACCTGGGGCACAGGGCAAGGCTCTGTCCCACCTCAGAGGGAGGGACAGCTAGTGAAGAAGTCAAACTATCAGGCAAAAGAAGGCGAATGCATGGAATGGGTTTGGGGTGGCCCTCCCTGCGCCGTCTCAGGGCTTTCCTCCAGCCCCAGGGGTTCCCCGCCACCCCCCGCAGCCCAGAAGCCAGGGGACCAGGAGGGCCAGTAACCGTGTTCTCACCGCCTCAGGGCTACATCGCCTCCAGGGTGCTGTCCCGAAGAGCCTGCTACATCCTGAAGATGAACCATAAGGCCATCCCCTCCCTGGACCAGCTAAAACGGTACATCTACGAGAAACAGGTAATTTTGCCGAACCCCTACTTATTCCCTGTTCTTTTAAGATTTTATTTATTTATTTAGTTATTTAGTTAGTTAGTTATGAGAGACCCAGAGAGAAAGGCAGAGACCCAGGCGGAGGGAGGAGCAGGTCCCTATGGGGAGCCCGACACAGGACTTGATCCCAGGACCCTGGGGTCATGCCCTGGGCCCAAGGCAGATGCTGAACCGCTGAGCCCCTGGGAGCCCCCTTATTCCCTGTTCTTGATCTGAGGAGAACTGGCACCTCCAGAGGAGTGACGAGGCTCAAGGGGAAGGTCGTAGTGTTAGACCTTCCCGGGGACGCGTCGTCTCCACCTGTCAGAGTGCTTCCTCGTTCACGGCTTGGGGGACCCGAGCGCATCTCTCAGCTCGATCGCTACCGCACAGGCCCCGATGCCACGGCTTGTTACCAGTTCTGCTGTTTCTGTGGGGGAGGCTGGACGCCAGGGCTCCGAGACGTGGTGCGGGCGGAAACACGAGGGCACGAGGGAAGTTGCACAGGAGCCAAGGGGCCACCCGGGAGAGCACGAGCACAGCTTCCTTCTCCCTCCCCCTGTGTCCTGCCATCTGTGCCTCCTTTGCCTGGGGGTTCACTCTCCCTGGGTTTCAGGGCCCCCGCGGTGAAGCCACCGCATCCTACCGAGGCTCCTCTGCAGAACGAGGGCTCAGAGGACAGGGTGCCTGAGGCTCCTGGCTGCCTCTGCTTAGTTGCATGAAAAGTCGGCGTAGAATACGGAACACCGGGTGGCGTCCACCTATTTTATCCTCCCCCCATCCCCCCGCTGCTCTAGGCCATGCAAAGCTTGTTCTCCGATAAGTACTTCTGGGTCAAGTACAACCCGCTGCAGTCCCTGATCATGCACATAGACTGGTTCCTGTTCGGCTCGCCCATCAAGGAGCTGTGCAGTAACGTCCCCCTGTACAAGGGGGAGGTGTTCGAGAAGCCGCGTGAGTACCAGCCAGCTATCCCTTCATCACGGATGTCGTGAAGGCTCCCCCGTGGGTGAGCAGGGGTGGACGTGGAGCTCGGCTCCTGGCAGTTGGCTTCAGGAACTAAACGCCAAAGTCTGTGCAAAATGTGTCACATGTTAGGGAGACACAGAAGTGAGTAAGACTCTGCCACCAAGGGACTCAGAGTCTGGCTGGGAAAGTGGATGGGTTCACCCAGAGGAGGAATCTTTGGGATGTCCTAGGTGCTGAGGAAGGACCGTCGGGTTCCCTAATGTGCGGCGCACTGAGCGGAGTCGATAACACAGTTCTGCAGGCTTGGAAGGCCTGAGATCTTCAGATCCACGCAGATCTTAAGTGTCCTTCACACACACACACACACACACACACACACACACACACACACGAGTTGCCCACGTTAACTCTGTGAGGTGAGGGTTGTGTTCTCTTGATCTCGGTCACCGTCCTACGATGTGTATGTGTAGCGAAGCATCACAGTGCACCCTTGAAATACATACAGGTGCACTTGTCAATTATTCTTCAAAAAAGCAAATCTAGGATAGAACAAGGCTAAGAAAGAGCGAGCCACGTGCCCCGATTGGCGGGGAGTAGACCCTTGAGTCACCCAGGGGACGGCCGTCGCCGCAGCCATTACTGGCATCTGTATACAAAGTCTCCAAACACGCGACAGTGGCCAGAGGGAAAGAGGGGCCAGGCCGCAGATGGTGAATGGAACAAGGTAAATTCCCCAGCCTAGTGGATGGCAAGATAAAAAAGAAAATAATTAGCATTTATCACGTGTTTTACGGTCTACAAAAAAACTTTTTAAGGCATCTTTCTTTTAGTAGCGTCATTAGTACTTATACAAGTAAAAGTGACCCGCGGGCCCCAGTGCAGAGTGTCAGAGCATCCATCGAACAGAGCCAGACAGCGCTTCTAGGAGTTGTCAGTCTTTTTTATTATTATTATTATTATTTAATTTTTTCAGAGAGAGCGCGAGCGCATGCAAGAGAGAGAGAGAGAAAGAGTACACGAGTGGGGGCGAGGGGCAAAGAGAGGGGGGAAGCAGATTCCTCCGCTGAGCGGGGAGCCCGAGGGTGGGGGGCCCTGGATCACGGCCTGAGTTGAAGGCCCCTGCTTCACCGGCTGAGCACCAGGCGCCCCAGGGCTTGTCAGTGTTGGGGAAGCCAAGGTGCTCGGAGAGCCAAGGACTTGGGGGACGTGGAACTACACGTACGACCCCTGGTCAAGGCAGTAACCAGAAGACATCGGTTTGCTGCTTTCTAACACTGTATTTCTCAAGGCTCCTTTTTTGCAATTTTGTCCCTTTTTCAGATAATGTCGGTACTGGCACCTGTTCAAAAGTCGGATTCCTGGGCATCTTTGGACTCTCCATCTGCGCAGACGTGGATGCGTAGGCATCGGCCCACTGGCGTTGCCTTTTCCCAGACCCCTCCCCTTGGTTTCCACTCAGCAGCCACGTTAAGTTCTTTCCCAATGCCCCAACTAATGTTGAGACCTGGCGGTGAATCATAAATCCTATATCGACAGATGTCCGGGTGTTTCCTTTTTTTCAAACAGCAAAGGGAAACCAAACAGTGTTGACGTCAACACGTAGAGGGAAAGAATCTGCCAGGATTTCAGGCCCAGAGCATAGAGTGTGAAGCCTCCTGGATAACAAATCTGAGTCATTACATGGGGGTCAGCTGGGTCCAAGTGTCCGTCTTGCCTCCACCAGACCAGAGGCCCCTCTGTCCACCAAGAGCGGGGAGCTTCAGGGTTCTCTTACCCTGAGGAGTACTGAGAAATGTCTAGAATTGTTGAATCATTATATTGTGCCCCTGAAGCTAATATAACACTGTATGTTAATTAGACTTGAATAAGATTATAGCAAAATAAAAGTTTAATTAAAAATAAAACAAGGGGATCCTTGGCTCAGCGGTTTGGCACCTGCCTTTGGCCCAAGGGCGCGATCCTGGAGTCCCGGGATCGAGTCCCGCATCGGGCTCCCTGCATGGAGCCTGCTTCTCCCTCTGCCTGTGTCTCTGCCCCTCTCTCTCTCTATATATATATATATATGTCTATCATGAATAAATAAGTAAAATCTAAAAAAATAAAAATAAATAAAATTAAAAATAAATAAAACAGAAAACAACCACGTGTGCCCTCCGGGTGGAGCAAGTGCTGGGGGGCGGGGTGGGCAATGGCACCCCCCCCTGCTCCGGGGGGTCGCGGGGTTGGGTGGTTCTCTTAGCAAACAACTCAGCCGGCTCAGGTGAAGGAAACTGTCCCCTTGGACAAGGCCCCCAGCTTGGACCGGCCGTCACATGCCTTTTCGCTCATCAAAGCACTAGTCTCAACCTCCCTAAATACGATTATAACGTATTTTATCTTGGAGTGAGGAGAGAGGTAGTCGGGAGCGCCAAATCAATATATAGGCGGAAAAAAGTTTTCCAACATTCCAAATAAATTGTGTAACGTGGACACAGTCCCGGGTTGTACAGCTGGGCGGTGGGCCGGTCGGATCACGGGGGAATTGCTTAAACAAGAATTTCTGTTATCAACTGCTCTTCCTCCTAACATAATAACCACCGCCAAGTATATTTGAGACACTCGGCCACGTGCTCAGCGCTGGGACAGTTACGCCGCCAAGACTCCCATTGTCAGGGAAATGGGAGGGAAATGGTTTTCTTGTTGGGGAAGGGACACATTTACGTGAAAACGTTCGCCAGCAACGGTAAAGAAGGTACAACAGGCCAAACGGGTGGTAGAGGCTCCTCCCCGGGACCTTGGTATTGGCGGGTGATGGAATCCACATCAAGTGAACCGAGGCAAGGGGGGTGGAATTTGTTGTGTCACCTTGCTGAAGAAAGATAGAGATATTGCGGTCTCGGGTGGCGAGACCCGGGGTGTGTGAGGGGGCCCAGACTTGTCTCCTGCTCTCGATTCTCCTTCTCTCTGAGCATCAGCCTCAGAGGTTTATGCCAACCTTCTCCAGGAGGATAGAAACCCCCGCCACCCTATGGTCCCCATGTTCCCAGCGTTGTCCTCAGAGAGGGAGGGCCTCCTCTCCATTCCAGTCTCAATTTGTTTTAATTTAAAAAATCTTTGGGGGAGGAGCCAGACTGAGTCACCTGGGGCACGTGCTTACACCCGGGCCGAGCCTGATGGGGACGTGGTGGGTGGAGGCTGTGTTGCCATTAGCAACCTCCCTTGGGATTTACTGCTTAGAGCTGGGTTATCCTCATTAATTTTTACGTCCGTCTCATTTTTAAAGCAGAACTTCGAGGTCTGCTCTTTCCCGACTCTGCTTGCGTGAGGCGGGTCAACCCTCCTCGGTGCTGGTGCCATGCTATTGGGGCAGCAGGTGCAGCGGGCCAGCTCGGGCCTGAAAGGAGTATGTCCAAGTGGAAGTTACCAGGAAGCTGGGGCTGCCCTCGGCCTTCAGAAGGAGCTCCTCCTTCAGGGCCGGGGAGGGGACATATGGCCTGGCTCCAGCTTTGCATGCCTCGAGACATTTTTCAATTTCCCCTTGACTTCTCTCTTTGACTCGACTGTTATTCCAGAGTGCGTTGTTTGCTTTCCACGCACGTGTGAGCTTTCCTGCCTTCCTTTTGTTCGTGATTTCTCATTTTACTCCACTGTGTGTGGAAAAGATACCTGGAACGGTTCTTCACTTCGTTAAGGCTCGTTCCGTAGCCTAGTGCGAGATCCCTCCGGGGAAATGTGCCGTGGGAGCTGGAGAAGGATCGCATCCCGTCGTCGGACGGAACGTTCTATAGAGGTCCGCTGCGTCCACTTGGTCTAGGGTGTTATCCAAGTCTGCTGTCGTCTTGCTGATTTTCTGTCTGGATGGTCTCGGCGTCATGGGAAGCGGGGTAGCAGTTTCCTGCTGTCACTGTACTGCTGTCCATTTCTCTCCTCAGATCTCCCCGGGCTGCCCCTGACGTTGACTGCACATATATTTATAATTACTATATCCTTCCGGCGAGTCGACCCTTTTTTCATTATGTAGTGACCTCCTTTTCTCTTGTGACAGTTTTTGACTAAAAGTCTATTTTGTGGGATCCCTGGGTGGCGCAGCGGTTTGGCGCCTGCCTTTGGCCCAGGGCGCGATCCTGGAGACCCGGGATCGAATCCCACGTCGGGCTCCCGGTGCATGGAGCCTGCTTCTCCCTCTGCCTGTGTCTCTGCCTCTCTCTCTCTCTCTCTCTCTCTGTGTGACTATCATAAATAAATAAAAATAAAAAAAAAATAAAACTCTATTTTGTCTGATACAAGTACCGCCTCCCCTACTCTATTTTAGGTACAATTTCCATGGACTATCTTTTCCCGTCCTTTCATCTTTAGCTTATGTGTGTCCTTAAATCTAAAGCGAGTCTCTTATAGACAGTCTATAGTTGGTTTTTTTTTTTTTTTTTGTATCCACTTATCTACCGTCTATTGCTTTACTCGGGATATCGGCTCTGCTAAATCACTGTCCGCCCGAGCATCGACCTTCTCTAGGTCATCACGGAGGAGGGGCAAGTCTGGACCAAACATAACAAAGCATCAAGGATCCTAGAGGAGCTGATCTGGCTACTGAGGCTGACCTGAGAGAGGAGGCCTGATCCCGGACGCGAGTGTGCCAAGGGGGATTTTGTAGGAATCTTGGTAAGTCTTGCAGCTGGGGTTATGTCCTACGACATTTTGCTCTTCCCAGTAAATGATAACGTCACATAGACGCATTCGGCCACCTTGAGGGAGAACGAAATGGAAGTTGTTCGTTCAGAGCTCCCGGGATTAGAGTGCGTGAGTCCGAGCAAGTATTTCCTTCTGCAAAGTCTTTGTTGGGACACCTGCTTGAATGGGTGTGAACGGGAGTTAACCTAAACGTGATAAATATCAATTGATGAACTAACAAAATTCTTGAGACTTCTAGCTCCTGCTAACGATGAATTAGCTTAGATCAGGCTAACCTTGCTGACATAACAATTGCAAACCTGGACAAAATGTGAAACAAGCAGGTGGTTGCAGGCACCGGAGAGCGGCCCAAAGCAGGCAGGAAGCAAAGAGGTAAGGCCTTTGAAAGAAATGTTCATCATCTATGGTTGATCAGGTTTGCAAGATCACATGATGCAGAAACCCACCGAGCACTCATCCCCCATCCACTGCCTCCTGCCCAGGCCCTCTTTCCTGCTAACAGAACCTCCGCTTGTCCGAGCAGCAGCCCAACGGCAGCCAGGAGTGCCAAGGTCGAAAGGCCTGGGCTTCCTCTATCTCACTTCCCTTAAGAAGACAAGGTGGGGTCGGCTTCCTCCGACTGTGCCTGGTCTCTGGGTGGCCGTAGGACCTCAGTTCGGGTCCAGGAGGTCTAAGTGGAAGTTTGCTGAATGAGACTTCCCGGAAGGGTCTTTCTTTCCTGATACAGAGGGACAGACTCAGCTGGCACGCAAGTGTGCCCTCGGCTCTCTCCTGTTGTTCTTCCTTCCGCGTGGACGAGACGCTGGTGCCACGAGATATGTCTGCGATCTGGGGACCCCTGGGCAACAGCCCTGGAGAGGAAAGGTTCAGGGAAGGGAGGGCTGGAGGGCTGGATTGCCTCATTCTAGAGCAGCTCCCGCCGGCACCGTCTTTCCTCGGACTCACGTGGCACACATCCAGGTCCACCTGTCTGAGTCACCGTGACGGTGGCCTCCTTTAGTCGCGGCTACAGGCGTTCCTCACGGATGCACCTGTGACTGCACTCGTGACCATATCCCGCCATCTGGGCCTGGCCCAGCTCCGGGGCCCCCACTCTGCTCACCCTAGGACTCCTTTGGAAATTCCGGCTTCACCACATCCCCGCACTCACCCTGCAGAGCCCCAGTGCTACGCACCTTCTCATAGATCGGCCAAGGAAGAAATGGTACCCGGAGCCCACTGTCCAGCTCTGCGCACCTGCTCTTGCTTCCGCGGGTCCAGACACTGTCCCCAGCTGCTCCCTCAGCCCCAAGACAAACGTGTGAGGCTATGGCAACTCTTTTGCAAAGGACCCAGGACACATATGGGATACGAGTCAAGTGCTTCTTGGGGTTCTGGGGTCCGCGTCTACCCCACAGTAAGGTGGTAAGCCCGTTTCCTCGGGACGCCTTTCACCACAGGGGAGGACTGGCTGTAGCAGGGGTCTCCCTTGCTCATGCCAGTGTGTGACCTAGTGAAGCCATCCCCTGAAAATTCACCTCTCATACTTTTTTTTTTTAAAGTGAAGGAAGTCCTTCCTTTTTTTTTTTTTAAATTTATTTGTGAAAGACAGAGAGAGAGAGAGAGAGAGAGAGAGAGAGAGAGAGAGAGAGAGAGAAGCAGGCTCCATGCAGGGAGCCCGACGTGGGACTCGATCCCAGGACTCCAGGATCACGCCCTGGGCTAAAGGCAGGTGCTAAACCGCCGAGCCACCCAAGGATTCCCTACCTCTCATACTTTTAAGGGTGCAGCCCCCCCCCTTCAACCTTTCTCTGAAAACTTGACTTTGCCTCACCCATAGGGTGAAGTCTTAGGGATAGCACAATGGCCACCCATTCTGATCTCTTGTTAACAACCTCTGGCGCCCTCGCTTTTCTCCCGTTTGACCCGATTCCATTGCCACGACGAGGGGAATCCTGGGGGGGCGGGGGGGAGGGGGGTGGTAGTTGCCGGCCTGCGACAGTCCAACATTGGCCTCCACTCCAAGGGTCCTGCCAGGGTGTGTTTGAGTTTTGCCAAGAGATTCTCAGAATATTCGACTACTATTCCCTTGGGACCAGAGTGAGGGTGGGTCTTTCTGGGCTGTTGGGAACATTCCACATCTTCACCTAGGGGACAGCTCCAAGGCTTCTTCACGTAAATATTCACTGAGCCGTGCGCTGGAAATCCCGCACTCC